CACAAAGCCAGATCACCTTTTGTTTGGTTCATGTTTGAAAGTGGTATATGTTGTAAAAGGAATCTGAAATATTGTGGAGTGCATTGAATATTGAAATCACCACATTTCGCACTAAATTACATTTTACTCATTGTGTATGTGCCAGGTCCTTTCCTGTTCTGTTTAGGAATTTGTACTGATCACTTGTGAACTGGTTTTGGGCTCTGGGTTACTTATTGTCAGTTTGTGCAAGGTCACTGAACAGAAAAACACTACTTTAAGGGCATAGTATTTATCAGATGTCAGTAAGTGCCGGTAATACAGTGTCACTTATTAATCAGAATGCTGCATAAGTAAACATTCTGAATAAAATTTCCACATACTAGAATTATTGTGCTATTTAATTTCAAGTTTTCTGTTGTCTTAAATCTGTCATTTTTAATTACATTCTTTTTTCACATTCCTTTGCAAAGTTTCCATCATTGCTATCTTGTAAAGTGAGATTGTTGCTATTAAATTGCAGTGTTTTGTTTCTTTAATTGTGTTGGTTTTATGTTCAAAATATTCATTTGATGATTTGTGGTCCTAATACAGCAACTTTACTTGAACAAACACAATGCAGGTATGTTTCAAATCTTTAAAACAGCATTTCTTAACTGGTGTGATAGTTTAATTTTGTAAAATATATCGTTTATTAAATGTATTTCTGTATATCCACATATGTTAAATGAAACTGGAACAGAATTAACACAGATCAGGAAACAGGTTAAGATTAGAGTATGCTGTGCCTAAGCTAAAAGTCCAGTGATAAGTTCCATGTTTTAATTTTCAAAAACTTACCAAGGAAGATACATCAGTAAAATGCAAAGAAACTTTCTTGCCTGTATATTGCAGTTGCACAGTGAAGCAAGAATGAATAAAACTTACAAAACACAGAGAACATAGTATAACTTGGATAGGTCTTGGCATCAGCAGCTCCAAGTCCATGTAGAAGATAACCTAGAAAAGCAATTGTTTTCTTATTTTATGATTATTTTCTTATTAGTAGGGGAAAAAATCTCAAGTTTTTAAGGACAAAGCTTACAAAAATAATGAAAATATGTTTGTCTTAAAAAAATACTGGAAACAAATCTTCAACGTTCATGTTCATTTATATCACAGACTCTCTGAAATGTTAGCACTGTTGAGAGTTAATACACTCATTAAGAGTCCATTCACTACATGGTTGTTCCCCAGCTCCTACTTTGTTCTTTCTCAAATACTTGCTTCTCAAAGCTTATTAAACTGTCTGTGAAGCACCTTGACTTACTGTGAAAATGATCTATTATTTGATTAAGTGCTTTGTCAGGGTACCAGCATGCTAAACCCTCTGCAGATACAGCGACAAAAACTGCTTACTGCCTTGGAGCACTTGCAATCTAACAAGACAAATTACACAAACTTGTACTGATCTGAGATGAACAGATTACAGAGGAATGCCCATAATTTGGAAATTGCTCATAATGCTTTTCTTTGTTACAGGGAGGACTGAATAGCTTCAGCAGAGTGAATTAAGCACTCTTGAAATACCTCGGCAAAATTTTCATTTTCTGCCCATCATACTATCCGTGAATGCTCTCAGGGACCAATTTTATCTCACTATTCTGAACCAATACATTTCAAATGGGTAAGAAATCAAATGTCCTATGTAGGGTTTAATCTATTGAACAGTACAGGTATAAATGAGCAAGTGTTGGATGAGATATTAACTCTTACTCTAGGAAGGTCAGTAGTGAACCAAAAAGGCTTTTTTTCTTAAGAATTCATCTGGGAATTAAAATTTATTATAACACAGTAATCAACTGTAACACAGTAATCAATAGTCTGTAACTTGGAGCATGGTAGGGTCCATGCAGTACATCCTTGTACTTGGTCCAAGGAGAAGAGTGTCTGTTTACTTTTCTAAACTACATCTGCAACAGATACTTTTTTCTGAATCAGTGCTGCCGTTTAGTCTCTCCAGCATTTGAAATTCAAGTTGTGGTATCTGCCACCTGGTGGTGAATTGCTTCTCCAGATGTGCTGTGTGTGAAGCAGTTTATCATTTCAATATAAGCAGTTAACAACTTCAGTAATGCCAGCAGGCAGCTGGCACGGGATCATCAGCTGTTGCCTGGGCCTGCTGTCAGTCCAAGTGCAGAGATCCCTGTCAGCTGAGGGCCCTTGCCCAGCCTCTTTGCTGGGCAAATACTCAGCTTGTGACATCTCCATTCAAATCAAAAAGCATCATCACTGATGGTACTGCATTCTGCCTTGTGAATAGCACCTTGGGTTTAGATTAAAATAAAATAAAAACAAATTTAAGTGTTTCCAAAGTTGAGAAAAATAGGAGCAATTCAGTTATTCTTTTCCTGTTCCGTGTTTCCAAAGTTGAGAAAAATAGGAGCAATTCAGTTATTCTTTTCCTGTTCCTCTGCTTACAGACAAATAATCTGGCAGGTTCAACACTAGCCTTACTCATAATGCTAGCCTTACTATTATGTGTGTGTGTGTGTGTATACACACTCATACATGATTTATAATATATATAATATAATGCTCTATCATATGCCAGGATAGATACGTACATACACTATATTTTCATCATATCTGCTATTTTTATTTCCATGCTGCAAAACAATTGGAATTGGAGCTTCAGGTGCAATTTTCAGAATAGAGGAGCATTTTTTATTACATTTACTCATGTAATTCCAACTGTTAAATTGAGACTAGGTCTTCTGTTTGTCAGCAATAACAGAAAGGGTATCTAGTTCTTTTCAGTTGTAATCCTCTGGTATCCACAGGTAATTACTTTGCAAACTGTGGCACCTGATCTGTTCCCACTTAGCTAAAATATTTCTTGTTTTATGATGTGCTTTTCTTCTAGGGATGAACAGTGCCAGTTAGTTTGTTTGATCATTAAATAGCTATTCTGCCTTAGAAACAGCCACGGGGAAAGAAAATGTGATGACAACAGGGAGGTACAAATGAAATACTTGTTTACAGGTTATTTCTTTAATTCTGTAAAGAAGGACTTTGTGTTCACATGACTAGAAGGACAGACTCCTCAATAAACCCAGCTGAGGAATGCTCCTGACACTTTTATATTATAAAGGGAGGAAACGGTGCTTAAAATAATGCTGAGATGAGAAATCCCACTTTCAAAGGAATGGCTGGTCCTGCTGCAAGAGAGGGCATTAAAACTGAGAGAACTTATTTAAAGTGGGTCCTGTTACAAGCACTGTTTTTTAAAGGGTTTTGGTGATTTAGTGGTTGTATGAAGTTTAAAGAGCTTGGAGATGAAAGAAGCTGTGGGCCTTCGCTTCTCTCTCCTTTCTCTTCAGGGAATGCCCCTTCCATAAACCAAACTCCCTGATTCTGCTTTCAGTTTTTTGCCATGCTGTGAGGCCACACATCAGGGGGACATACAATGTGACACCCTATGATTAGACTTTTCAGGAAAGCTACTTTTAGGTGTTGGCGAGGGCAAGTTTTCTTTGTAGCTGTGCCATTTGCTCTAACTGGAATTTAACACCATGCAATTCTATATTAAATAACAATAAAAATGAGAGAAGCAAAACATGATAGCCAGGTTCTCCCAATGAGAAATGTGTTTGTCTTGACAGCTGGATTGGTCTTTCTTTCCTTGAAATCCTTGAAAGTATGCTTACATAAGTGTGTGTGTGTGTGTGTGTGTGTGCACGCACACATGTATGGATACACATTCACATGTATGTATATAAGTGCACTTGATATAAAAGCTGGCTTAAATACTAGTTTCAGCATTTCAACATCAAGCAATGGCCAAGTAAAGGTTGCTCACCCAGACTGACTGGAAGAACCGGCATGAGAGCCCATAAAGGCTTGTATTAATTAACTTAATTGTCCTTGTGGTCTGACATTGCAGGGTCAAAACTATGCTTGATGCTGAGTTTCTGCTGTACATCCAACTTCCATGAGATTTATTCATACTTGCTTTCTGGCCTAGACCTGATGTATAAATTTTGTCTAAGTATCTAAAAAAAAATTAAAAAGCTTGTCTAGTATCTATATTTTAAGTAAGTTACTCTGCAATTGTTGCACACTTGACAGTCTTTTCTTGTGTGCAAAGGTGTAAAATTCTGAAGGGTAAAATCTTACTGTAAAATCTAAAAAAAACTGCATAGAAATTGAAGAGTTATAATAGAGTCTGATTTTCCATTGTCTTCATAGGGAAGACACTACATCTATGAGACATTTCCTAATTCAGTGTAATTCTCCATGCCATAAGTGTGCATTCTGAACCATTCTGTTAATTTGTTTCTAACCACCCAGAAGGCACATCTGTCATAGGAGAGAGTTATTTTTTGGTTTTGGGTAAAGAACTATCTGAAACAGACAAAAAGAAAACTCTAAAAACTTTCATTTTGGGAAAACTACTGAAATGATCAAGAGAGAAAGAATAATTCATACATCTATCGCTCACTTCATCCAAAATGAGGGAAATAAAGCATCTTGGATGCACCAGCAGCCTTCCTGCAAAGAGAAGGAAGCAGCAGGCACATTGATACGGGGAAGTGTAAAAGGTTAGTGGGAGAACTGATTGCAGAGCTGATGGAGTAAATTGGATTGATTTGGAGATTGGATGGGCAGAAGTAATTGCTGAGTATCAGTTTAGAGGTCCTGCAGTGCCTGTGTCAACACTGTCTTTATCAAAAAAATCTGTCACCACTAATTCTCATTCATATACATAATTTGAGAAGGGTCTCAGAATAAAAATAGACATAAAAATGAAAAATATGTTTATATTTGTAATAATTATTTAATTTTTTGCTCTGATTATTAAGTATTTTTTTACCTTTTGGGGCAAGAGACCCTAGGAACTGAGCAGAGCTGGAACCAGTTTGAACCTGTGTTTGATGTAAGTCTTGTATCCTGCTTCCAACAATCATCAAAAACAGATGCTTTGGAAAACTGAAATCTCTTCTAGCAATAACAACAGGATGAAAGTCTTTCTATCCTTATCATGTATACCTTTAAGTACAAAGGTTTTTATTTATCATATACATTTTTTTAATGCTCTGATATGTTTTCACTATGCATGTAAATGCCTAATCCTCTTCAGTGCTGTACAGCCCACAGCCCTTGCCAAGGCATCAGCATGGAGAAATAGATGTTTCTGTGCAAAGGTAAGCTGTAAAAGAGAAGAGGGAAGGTATGAGCTGCATTTGAAAATGGAATAAAAAAAAGTTGAATGAGAGTGCAGCAGTAAGAATGGGATACTTTGAGAGTGCTTGCCTCCAGTTTGACCACTGCAGCCAATACAGGCCATCAGCAAGTGGGCTGTAGGAACAGGCGAGGCTGCAGCTCCCCAAGCATGGTATGCAGGGGGGTCTAAAAAGAGATAGAGTGGGTGAGACAAATCATAAAGAACAGAGTTGTGATCTCACATCGATACCTGTACAACATGTAGGATCACAAGCTCATTTCCTTCCCTAACCATTTCTACTTCTATTAATTGCCATAGCTATGCAGAAGTGTTCTGGTGCATCTGTTCTGTTTCTTTTCAATCTTACTCTTTTACCCTTGCCTCTCACTCAGAATTGAGGAAGGCAGTATGTCCATTTTCACCATAAAGAGCAACCAATTAGAAAAAAGACAATGTGAGGGTAGTACTAATAGATGCTTGAATGAACCAAAGTTCAGATATATTTGTTAGCTCAATAACTTTTTTAATGTTAATTAGGAAAATAGGGGAAACACTAAAATAGTAGCTAATTTTCAAATTGGATCTATTTTGCTTCCAATTTGCAAGATTAAAAATGTTTACATCAAGTTGCTACTTGCAATCCAAAAACATTTTTATATTATAAATGCCATTAATGTTTCAATGTGTTGTGTAAAGGTGGGAGAAGTCCTATGACTGCATGAAAATTTTAGATACTTTTCTTCTGCAGTGTTCAATACTCAAAACACATAGACTAATCAAATTATGCCAATAGGCTGAATGCTGGATTATATATCACCAGCTCACTGGGATGTAATTAATATGTGTTGCTAGGTAGGTAAACAAGACTGGGTTATGCCTGGCTGCTTGAGGGAAATAATATTTGTGCCTGGCTGGCTTTATTCAGTCACAGAAGACCAAGGAGAAGCATTGTACAACCCTTCCCACGTACTGCACAGTCTCACTTGATGGTTCATCCAGTCCCTGTACAGTCCTGGGAATTTAGGCTTCCCAATCCCCAAAATTTCTTACTGCCAAACTAAGATGGCTCCTCCCTCAGTAATCTGGGGTTCTTGTGAACTCATGTTGGCCACCAAGATGACCAAAGTATTTGACTGCTTGTAGGGTTTCATTTTGAGTCCTGGCACTTCTTCTGGGTCAGCTAGGAAAAAGTTAAACAGAGCAATGGCCTATTTGTGCATCTGGACCTATGCTCATACATGCATTTGAGGTGGCTCAAAGCATCTCTGAATTGTAGACACGGGTTAATTTTCTGTAGCCATGACAGACCCATGACTGCCTCTGTTGTGGATAACTGGGGAGAGACAGAACCTGGAAAGCAGAATGGAGAAAGATCCAGAAAGCTGAGATTTATGGTGGTGTGGTGGGTCCCCTAGACATTGCTCTGTTCTTTGGCGGCTGACAGTAGTGGGAACAGCACAGCAGAGCTACACCTGAAGTAATTTATTTGCCTTTCTTCCTTTCTTCCAATTTGTTGCCATAAGCAACTGGGTATTTTGTCCACATCTAGCAGCAAACCTAGAGTCACTTCTAAAGCTCTAAGCAGACCTATGAAAATAACCAACCAATGAATAATTCATTACATGCTGGAAGTATTTTAATTGATTTCATGATATGCCATTTAGAATTAAGTGAAGTGTTATCTCCTGCAAAGGAAGTCCATTTTCCTTTGTTAATATTTTTTTTAGCTTTTGTGCAAAATGACTGTACTTTCTTCTTTTCAATTTTCACAAAATAAAAAGCTCTTGCTTTTATCTTCCCTATAGATCTAGAAAGAGGTCTTTTTTATCAATTAAAAACAGTAAGTTTGCACTGTCACAAACACAAGCTCTTTACCTGGTTAAGTTTAAGCATTTCTGATGTTTTTTGATGGTCTGCTTAGACTGGTGAGAGTCTGTGGGTTGTGTCTGCAGTACTGACATGCAGTATTTTGCGGGGGTCCCTGGATATACTCACATGCAAGAACAGAGATCTTGGAAGTACAGAAGCCCACGGGGAGTCTTTTTGGGCACAGCAGGTGCCATGTTTGCTGCTTGCTGTCCTAATGTTACATACTCCAGTAACTCTGTGGCTGAGCATCTGGGGTCCTGAAATTCAAAGATACATTTTTTTCACCTTGCTGCTCTATTTTTGGAAGACAACTACACATGTGATAGCCAGCACCTATCAAGCACCTAACTGCTGAGCAGCATCTGCAGCGTGAATTTAAATGCTCTGGGAATATGTCTCATAATTTCAGAAAAGTAAAGCTACCTCAGAAATCCACAGTGCAGGACAGGTGCTTAACTTTCACTTCTGGTGAACTTATCTATTTGTGGTATAAAAAAATTGAATTTTCATAAAATACAAAGCACAATCCAGTGCTGTCATTTGACCTTGCAATGGTCAAACCTGGATAATAATCTCAGGATATCAGCTGCACTATGCTTAAGGTAATTCTTCACACATGCTATGAAGTATAGAACAGCAACCACTCTGCAGCTATAGTCCCCCTTTCAGGAAGAATGCCTAGCAGGGTAACTTGGTGGGAGAAATTCTTATTGCCTCTTTAATTGACAATATGAAATGCAAGAAGAGTCAGGATCCAGGCTTCCTGTAGTCCATTTGTCTCAATGAAGTGAGGAAAATTGTAAAGGAAAGAAAACAGTGAAATCTACAGCTTCTCGAACAGTGATTCAATACAGCTGTTTAGTCATTGACATACTGTTCTTCACTTTCTCTTGCACATTATTATAAAGGGAAAAAAAATCATTCATAATCACTGGATTAACTTCTCTCCAGCCTATGGGACAATTTCACAATTGCTTTTTGTAATTGAAAACTATTGGGTATTGTGCCTTTGTTTTGAGATTTCCTTTCTCTCCTATGCATTATAACTGAATTAAAGTTTACTCCTAAAGGTCATTTCAAAGTGTAGTGACATTATAGAAACATTCTCTCTCTAAACTACAGTGACAGGCTTGACACTGGGAAGTCATACTTGGCCAAGTCTAAACTACAGACTCCATTTCATGCATTTGAATCACAAGTTCCTGTGGCAACTCATCAGTTGTAAAGGACCAAGTGCAGTGGGACAAAGGGCATCCCCAGGCTGGTGGTCAGTACACCGAGTTTGACAGCTGGAAGGACATTTATCTTTCTTCTGCATGGCCAGTGATATCTTTTACTTGACACGTCACCTGCAATACATAACAGATCAAAATATGATGCCATCTCAAATCAAAAATGGAAAAAACTAATCCAGGTCAAACCTTAAATCAAATAGGGTGGTAGCAGCAGGTTCCTCACATTAAACTGCTTTCAAGAGTGCAAAGATAATTACAACTGATGCACCCTATTCTTACGTTGTAATGTGGTGTTTGGCAGCACTGCCAAACCAAGCACTCAGAAATTCTGGATCTCATTCACAAAGTTTGATATGACCCTGGAAATCGCAACAGTTCGAATACTTAACACAAGTTGTTCTTTATTTATTTTCCTGTGTATAAATCATCACCATTCAATTCCACGTTTTCTAGCATGGAGCTTGTAGAAATACAAAAGACTTTGATAAAAACAGCAAGTGCTGTGAGTGCCCACCAGCCACAGTGCTGGGATTGCCTCTGGGTTGCCTCAGCAACCTCTGCAGCAGCAAATTTTGTTCATAGAGTTTCATTTTAAGTTCTGGAGTTTCCTCTGGGAGCCAGCTAGGAAAAAGTTAAACAGAGCAATGGCAAAGCCTATTTGTGCATCTGGACCTATGCTCATACATGCATTTGAGGTGGCTCAAAGCATCTCTGAATTGTAGACACGGGTTAATTTTCTGTAGCCATGACAGACCCATGACTGCCTCTGTTGTGGATAACTGGGGAGAGGCAGAACCTGGAAAGCAGAATGGAGAAAGATCCAGAAAGCTGAGATTTATGGTGGTGTGGTGGGTCCCCTAGACATTGCTCTGTTCTTTGGCGGCTGACAGTAGTGGGAACAGCACAGCAGAGCTACACCTGAAGTAATTTATTTGCCTTTCTTCCAATTTGTTGCCATAAGCAACTGGGTATTTTGTCCACATCTAGCAGCAAACCTAGAGTCACTTCTAAAGCTCTAAGCAGACCTATGAAAATAACTTGGGCGGCTGAGTGTTTATGGCGTGAGAAGGAAACATGGGGAGCCGGCAGAACGCGCATCGATGCTGCCGAGGCCCATCGGCTGCAGGCCCGGCCCAAGGGACGGAGACGCCGGGGCTGCGCTCGGGTCTTCCGCGGCTGCGGGGACAGCGCCTACGGACGGGATCCCGGGGCCGTAGAGGGCCGGGGAAGCACCGTGGATGTCAGCATGAGGGGGGTAGTG